CCAAACTCCACCCAAGTGGAAGAGGGGTAAATCCCCAGATTGGCGAAGCCGGGAATAAGAGTCAATATTCCCAATATACGCCAGTCATCAATCCAATGAATATATCCGAAAATCCGCAGAATTGTTTAATTCGATTCCCGAATAATCAAGCAAAGGATTAATATCAAATTTGCACATCCAAGAATGCACATCACTGAAACAGGTGGACATGTCACAACATACCGAAAGCAGGCACTCCCTTCATTTTGGCAGACAGGCGGATTGGACTTCCCAGATTCGGCGAAGATACATGTCAAAGGATGCCATCTCCAGTTCCGCAACGATGCCTAAGGCAAAGGTTGCAACACGCATCCAGACATGTATAGTCACCCCACGCAACGCCAATCGACGAAGCTCACCATCTTGTCCTGGCCCTTTTGGCCTTCCGCACGGTGCCCGATGAAACATGTCCACCTCCCCGGCCCTGCTTAGCAGCCTCCTTCTCCGCGACCATCTCGTCATGAAAGGTCTGAGCCACATCAAGTAGCCTCCCGAGAACATGCCACTGCATTGCATGGGCATCAAGCTCCTGCCTTCTATCCATGGGAACGTGACCGAACTCGCCATTGGTAAGATCGTCTGCCCATTGATTTCGCTCCCTGGGGACCCAACGCAAGTCCAAGAAGACGGATCCAAGCCTAAGAGTCTCCGACAATTCCATCAGCAGAATGGGAAGGGGGTACTTGGTGGACATCAGCTTTGCGACAGCGTATGTGTTGCCCTGATTGTCCGTCGCCCCGGCGATGCTTCCCGCGCTCCGAGATCGTCCTGACATCCGGCTTCCCCAAAGTTTTACGCAGATGAGAGTGCCCAGCAATTCAAGGCTTGCAATGGTCCTCTGAAGTCATTCTTAATGAAAGCCCAGGGAGCCCAAGACGGCAGGACCTCCGCTGCATACCAAGACAGTACCTCGCGCCCGTTCCAGAGGTAGCCACCGACATAGGCCCTGCCATTCTCCGCCTTTGCGTCCGAAAAGAAGGTGAGCTCAGACTTCCCGGACGCCTCAGTCAAAGTCATGGGTTCCTGCAGGCGACCCCCTTCCTGGAACCTCTCCCAGCCACCTGAGGATCACCCTGATCATCACCGGAATCGTGAGGGGGCCATGCTTGCCGCGTGTAGCTGCCGACCATGAGTACAGTGGCCCAAGAAACGGCCGCTCCCAAGACAACGCGTTTGCCCCAAAGCCAAGCCTCCCCAATGCGCACGAGAAGTCGGACCATGTAGCCCGCCCCGACGTGGCGACCTCCATGCACCAGCGGATCAGCCACTCTGCCAGTGAAGGAGAAGTAAGCCGTCTCGAAGCCTACCCACTCCACCACGAAGCCGCCGCAGGTTTTTGCCCATTTAAAAGGGAAGCCCAGCGCCGCCAGTGAAGCATAGGAGATGACAGTCCCGCACGGTCTCCAGCGACCGCCTCAAGGTCGTCCACGTAGAGAAGGAGCTCAAGAAAGCGCCTGCCGGTGATGTGATGCATCAAGCGTATCCCTCCTCCGGAGATACGGCTCCACCAATACCCTGCCGATGCCACCCCGAACGTTCCTACACAATTCACATACACATAGGCATCTGCATCAGACGCCTTGCATCCCAGGTAGCCCCACTCATCGGGAGAATGGCGGAATCTCCTGTGTGCCTTGGAGATGTCTCCCGTGACCGAGAGCGCAGCACATTGATGTTCCTTCAGGAAGCGGAGCAAGTAGCGCTTTTCCCGAGCTCCAGGTGAGCGAACCTTGTCAAGACACCTGATCCTGTGATTCAACATGACCTCGTGAGACGCGTCATGGATGACCCTCTTCTTCTGGGTGGCCCCTCGTCCACCAACACGGCAATAGCCGAAAGGGCCGCCTCATCTCCGTACCTGCGCCAAAAGGTATCCTCGTCCAGCTTCAGCATCAGGCCTTCGGCCACCTCAGCATCGAAGTGTTCACGAACATAACCGATATGTTCCGCCGCCGACTCATAGTTCGCCTTCCAAGCCTTCGCCACATCGTTGGGCCCCATCTCCAATTTCCAGGTGGTCTGCTCCTCGTACACCTCCGGCGTCCGTGGGAGTGGACTCGAGACCAGGTTGCATCCAGCCTCACCCTTTGTAGCCATTTCGAAGACGACCCGGTCAAATAGGATGGGGCCTCCAGCATGGTTCATCACGATCTCCTCCAGCTTGGTCCTGAGCTCTCTCCAGCCAGCCCCTTCACAGTAGAGCCTGTGCGAAGGATCCCAGCGTCCTGGGAGAGCATAGCCCCGCCCCATCATGAAAAGGCCTGCTCCCCCAAGGCTCACGACAGACTCGCGAAGGGCCCTCACCTCCAGGCACTGGCGGATGTGTCGGGTCGACCTCGACAACCTGAGGAAAGACCACAGCAGCTGAAGTTCGAGTCTCCGAGAGACAGAAGCCAACACCCTGCAGCAATGAACAGTCCCCAGCACTCAAGGAACCAAGCTCCGCCACGGTGTACCCAGCAAGCACCAGTCTGAAACCACTCCAGTCCTCCGTGGCATGCCAGCGGTGAGCATCGAAGGAGATTTTCCCATCCTTCCACGATAGGATCTCTCCCTCCACCTTGTGACCTCTAATTATTCTGGGGGCCACGCCACCCTTTGCCTCGGTCCATAGTCCCCCGTTCTCGAAGCTAGAGCAGGCCAGCAGAAGATTGTCGTGTGGACGACATGTCCAGCAAAGTTGCTCCTCATGATCTCTGCCAGAAGCCTAGTAGAAAGCGGAAACATACGCACATTCCGCCTCACTCCCACCTGGTCACCGTGGATGTAGGCCCCCGTGGTGAAAGATTTCTGATCCTTCCGCGGTTTATCTGCTTCCCTGACACGAATCTCGTCGGGAAGAGCATCCGAAAGAGCCTTCAAGTCCTCAGCAGTGGCCTGACCCCGAACAAGACATGCCAGTGCAATCGATTCCGCCATCCCAGGATCCTCAGGGACGTTCCTGATATCAGCAGAGTTGAAGTTGAATGTGATTGTCCCGTCAGGCCCAATCTGACGTGGCTGCGAAGTCTTCTTATCCCCCTCGCCAGCAACGTTGACGAGCGCCAGAAAATCATGCAAAATTGCTTCGGCTACCCATCTACACATGTCCGAGGGCCACGTAGCGGTGCCAGTGGTAATGAAAGCTTTCCCTGGTTCGGAGCGCATGGGCGGCGCATCAGGGTGTCGCGGCAATGGCCCAGTGTAATAGCCGTCTGCATCAAACGATGGCAATTGCTCATACATGAAGGGAGGCAGCGACACAGATGACCGCAACAGGATACGTGTAGGCTTGGCATAGTCTACTCCAAAGTCTCGTTGGTGGAACGCGATGTGTCGAGCTCGAGCACGGCGACGCAGCCTCTGAAATCCCTTTCTTTGCCACATGGAAGAAGGTCTCTGCTTTGGACGGACTGTACCCAAATCCTCGGGCTGCTCAAGAAGCATGAAAGCAACGGGCAAGTTGAGCGCAGCCTCCGCAGCAGCAAAGGAGAAGTCGGCCAGGTTGTTGCCAAGCATGGCCTTTCGCCGTTCCACCCATCGAAGGGAAACCCATCTGGATGATCAAATGAACGAATGGGTCGTGGACCACGCTTATTGCGCCAAGGTGCCCGACTAAAAGTAGAACAAGGTGGAGTCAAAACCACCGCAAAGAAATCCCCCCTCTTTATCCTAGAAAGGAATTGCTCTTGGACCTTAGGATTAGAAAGGTCCACAAAAGGACGTACAGCAACATCAATGGCCGCCACCTTAAGTGGAAGGCCGTAACGTTGCGCCAATTTTCGGAGCCAAGCAGCTAAGGAATTCGGGCGAGGTCGCCCACAAAAGAGGTAGAGGACACGCAGCGCCTGGCCGTGAAACGCCGTGCCCCCATCGGTGCCAAGTCAGTGTTTCCCGGCAGTGTCTGTCGCCGGCCGCCGCTTGGGGCATCCAATGAAGTTGTAATTGACATCAAAGCAGTGGCTGCAAACGTGCTTGAACTTGCAATTCGGTATGGTGCAGCCTTCAGCCTGATTGAAACGGAAGCATATGGGCTCGCCAGTCTTGGTGGCCGCACGGCCACGAAAGGTCTTTGTGTTCTTGCCCTTGCCAGCGCCTTTCTTGCCTTTGCCGCGCCCAACTCCCTTTGGTGGTGGCTGCCAGGTAGATCCGGAAGGAGCCTCTCCCAGTGGTGGCTGGCGCTTGGCATACAAGGAAAGAGGCGTTGAAAAGCGACGTTCCTTTGTCACCGAATCCTTCCACGCCTTCTCCCAGGCGGCCGCCAAAGTCATATTGTCGGAGATCATGTAGCGAAAGGCCTGCTTTCGAATGGCCTGTTCGTATGACAGCACAAGATGCCATGGTGGACGGTGAATCACCTGATCTGTTGAGTCCTTCGCCTGAAGGTTGCGCACATAATCTCCCAACAAATACTCCTTTGTAGCGTTCAAACAAATCATGCGTGACATCACCGATGTCTGCACGCCCAGGAAACTTGAGGACCAGCATAATGTATGCATTTCGCATAACATTCAAACGATGCCGGAGCTCCTCGGGTCCTGCTGGCATGGGAACCCTGGAGTTTCCCCGCTTCACAGTAGGTTCCCCTTTGAGTCCCACACGGGAGTAAGGGTGTCCGGGTCGAGCTCATCACGCGTGGTGACCTCCTGAAGAGACTCCGCCTTGAATTCCCCATGCTCGACTTCCAACAACTTCTTTTCCAGGAATTCTTTTGATGGAGTGACCTTTTCGTCCATCGCGCCATGAGATTTTGTGTATGCCTGGCGCAGCATGATGTACTCAGAAGTGGGTATGGGTTTCACCCATTCCCGAGTGTCCTGCTCTGCTTCCGCCTCTGCTTGTTGCTGGACACGCGTCCTTGACACCTTCCAAGCTGCCACAAAACTGGCCACACCTGCGACCCCCAGCATTCTGCGCCCCCATTGGAGTGGTTGGAAGTTGCTCCCAGGCACTTTCCCTTCAAAGAAAACACATGTTTTCTTCCTCTCATGAAGAGCAGACGCCCCACTTTGTTTTGCTCACTCTCCGCCAGCATAATTAGCAGTTTCTCCTGCTGCGTCATGGTCAGAAGACCCTCTAGATGAATCGTCACTGGATCCCTCTACACCCTGCGCCCAGCAAAGCCTACAACGGTGAGTATACTCCGAAGGTTCGGGCAACTGCTCGGACAAGGTATAGTTGCGGAAATCTCGGGCCCGTGCCATCCAGCAACCAGCAGACCCTGCTCGATGCAGACGAACGGTTCCCCTTCGTGAGGTGACTAACACGAAACCTGAATCCCTAGGCGCCGCCCTCGAAGCCTCCGGCTCCGTGTCGTCACTCTGCTCGTCATCTGCCTGCTCCTCATCGGAGACTGGAGAATCTGCATCCTGAACCCGCCAAGTGCGCAACGCTGATCTGAAATCGTCATCAATTTGCCTGGCCGCGTCATCCTCCATGCTGCGTCTAGCGCGCAGCCAGTCATACGCTGCTTCCAGGACATCATGATCATCTAGCTCGCCCTCAAGTCTCTGCTTCTCCAGCTCGGATTTTAGGTAGCGATGGATACGCTTAAACTTTGCCGAGAAACTCCTCATGTAGGTATCACTACCCTCAGGCCGCCAACGACCTAAGGCGTCACGGTCACGTGGATCCAGGCCGAACCCATCAAGCAGCGTGGGCAAAGTCGCCCGCTCGCTGTGCTCTGTCCAGAGTTCCACCAGACCATCCGGGACGAGCCTTGAGCCCTCCAAAGTGACCAGCCGCCTGGTCACCGCAGCGGACATAGCTGAAATCTCGCTGTAGGAGGCTATGCGCCTCCGAAATGCCCCAAAATCTGGACGCAGTGCTGGAATTAGATAATCCCTGTCAAAAGGGGCAGCATCCATGAGCAGCCTCCATCCGACCTGCAGCCAGTCACGTTCATACAACCAGGAGTCTTCCGTGATAGCAATGGGCAGTTCCACCTGCCTACGATCAGGTCCGCTTGTCTTGCTAATGCTGAGAGTCACAGTAAACCTGCCACTGAAGAATCGAACCCGCTGCGGACAGATCCGTTGCACATCATCATGCCTGAGCGTTCCCCAGCACTTGAGCAGACGGTAGAATGATCCAACCCGAACCCCCAGCGATTCTCTGTGATTCACTGTAAGGATCTCCAATGAAACAATCATGGCCCCAGGCAAGCGTGGTGCCCGTTTGACGGGTCGATCAGGTCTGCTGAGTGACCTGGCAAGGACCTCCCTAGTGGACCACACAAGCCTACCAGCTGTTGCACGATGCTCCGGCGCCAGATCCGCTGCTTTTTCAAACCATGAAAGTGCCTTGAGAACCGACCCAGGAACAGTGTGTCCACACGGCTCCTCTGCCAACATGAACAAAAAGTCCACGACGTCCCCAGCCCGGAAGGGGGGACCCTTTAGCTTTGTGCGTTGCATCCAAAGAACCATGTCCTCTATATGAGCCAGATACCTCCTCAGGCTTCCATTCCTGAGCCTCCCCGCAACCACTTCAGCTTTTTGTCCAGGGTCCAAATCTGAAGACAACTCCAACAAGCAAGGTGCCTTGCACAGAAAAAGGAGCGCATGAAGTCTGACGCATAGGGCCTCCCGCTCGCGGGCTTCTTTCTCTTCTCGTGTTGAATCCACGGCATAGCGCGTCTCGCTTTCGAGAGCGCTCCTTCGCTCCCCTCGGAGGGAGAGCCACAGTTTCAGTCCCAGTAACGGGCGCCAGCGTAGGATGAGCCTCGCCCTGATAGAGCTGTCTCCACAAAAATGATGTCCCAAGGAGGCCCTCCGAGCGATCCTGCATCCTAGCCGTGTCCCTAGCAGCAAGCATGCGTGATAGAACATATTGCTCTACCTCATCAAAATACGCAAGGCCAAGTTCATCCACCAACTGACGTGTGATTGCACCAGACTCTTGTAGATCCACGGACCCCAAATTATGCATCTTCAATGGAGTCCATGAACAGTAAAACCGATGCCTGCGCCTCACAGCGCGACCATGGGAGCGTACTACCCCTTTCCACAGCTAAAAATATCTCTCCACTTGGCCCTGCGGCTGCCATGGAAAACAGATGTCAACTTCCGTCAAACTCAATTTGATCAAGCAGCCAAATTAAAATCAGATAAAATCAAGCACCCAAGAATTAAGGAAAATGGTTTCTGTTTTTCCACAGGGAAAAACCCCAGACAAAGAGGGAGTTTGTAAACACACACACTAGCGCAACAAGTCGCGAACGCGTTATTTAAAATATTTCGGAGGCCCAAGAATTTAAATAATTTAAATAATTTAAATAAATAAATTATTTAAACTATTTAATTTATTTCGGAGGCCCGAGAATTTAAATAATTTAATTATTTAAACTATTTAAATTATTCAAACTATTTAAAAGATTTTGGAGGCCCGAGAATTTAAATAATTCAAATAATTTAAATAATCTTAATAATTCAAATCATTTAAATAATTTAAATAATGTAAATTATTTCGGAGGCACGAGAATTTAAATAATTTAAATACTTAAATTATTTAAATTATTTAAATTGTTTCGGTGGCCCGAGAATTTAAATAATTTAAGTAATTTAATTATTTGACTTATTTAAATTATCTAAATTATTTAAAATTATTTAAATCATGTAATTTATTTAAAGTATTTAAATTATTTGAATTATTTAAATTATTTGAATTATTTAAATTATTTCGGAAGCCCGAGAATTTAAATAATTTAAATAATTGAAATATTGAAATATTTAAATTATTTAAATTATTTCGGAGGCCCGAGAATTTAAATAATTTAAATAATTTAATTAATTATTTGAATTATTTAAATTATTTACATTATGTAAATAATTTAAATAAGCTGGGTGC